CGATCGCAGTCTACCTGTCGACTGTGGGCAGGTGACAGACCGTGAACAGGTCCCTCTCCCCCCTTTCCCCCAGCCTCCTCCTCTGCTGCAGTGACCTCTGGCCCCCTTCCCCCCCAGCAATGTCTTCTTTCCCCCAGCCTCCTCCTCCACAGCGGAGAGCGGAAGACAGCACAGCTCAGGACGGAGGGCGGGAGGAGGAGCTGGCCAAATTAACTTTTCATATTAACAAGCTGGTAATTGGTAGGTAGGGCTGACCTAGCAACCAATCACTTGCGGGTTAATATGAAAAGTTAATTTGGCCAGCTCCTCCTCCCGCCCTCCGTCCTGAGCTGTGCTGTCTTCCGCTCTCCGCTGTGCACTGAGGATGACAGCAGCAGAGGAGGAGGCTGGGGGAAAGAAGACATTGCTGGGGGGGAAGGGGCCAGAGGTCACTGCTAAGGGGGCAGAGGACACTACTGGGGGTGATGTGCAGAGGAAAATGTTATGAACAGGGCCACCCCCATAGCAGTGTCCTCTACCACCTTTCATATCACATCCCTCCCCACAGTAGTGTCCTCTGCCCCCCCTTTCAACCTCTAGCCCCTTTTTCACCCCACCAGCGGTGTCCTCTCCCCCCCCCCTTTCCTCCCATGGATGGGTATTCCCAGCAATTGGCTAAGGATCAGGATGTTAATTGTTGTTTGTACCCGTAGTACAGCCCAGAAACAATAGTGAGCATTTTGGGGTTTTTTTTTACCTAAAACACACTGACACCAATTAAAAAAAAAATTTTGTGATCTTTGACCCTGACAGCGATTATGTGACGTGGAATCGGGAGTCCTGGGTCATAATTGTTAGAACGGAACCCGGGGCTCTCTGTGACACCCCAGTCTTTGTGCTGGGAGCGCGCTGTGCGGCACGCTCCCAACACAGAGACAGGTACGCCAAATATGCGGCCCCAGGAAAAAAGCCCAATTCCGTGAGGCCGCATATTTGTGTGATGTCGGCATCAAGGAGTTAAAGTGATATTAAAGGCTTAATTTTAAAAAAAAAATAACAAACACATTATACTTACCTGCTGTGTGCAGTGGTTTTCCACAGAGCAGCCCAGATCCTCCTCTTCTAGGGTCCCCCACCGATGCTCCTGGGCCTCTCCCTCCTATTGGGTGCCCCCACAGCAAGCAGCTTGCTATGGGGGCACCCGCTGCTCCGTGTGTCCCCTATCTCTTCTCATTGGTTTACTTGCTGTGATTGACAACAGCGGGAGCCAATGGCTGCCCTGCTGTCTCAGCCAATGAGTTGAGGGAGTCCCGGGATTGAGAATTAGGGGGGCTGGGGGAGCTGCTGAACAGAGAAAGTTTTCTTACCTTCATGCATAGAATGCCTTGAGCCTTTACAACCACTTTAAGGGCTAATTCACACCAGAATGTGGTGTGCACTGGGTATGTGATTTGCTGCAAATGTCAATACTTTCCTAATGACACTCCAAACGCAGATTCAGTGTGTTCCCCTGCACCGGATTGCGTGGTACTGCAGTACCACGCAATCCGGATGTAGTGCGTTTTTAAAAGTAGTACATGCACTACATTTGGGTCGATCTGGTGCGTGTTCAGCCTATTCAATGGGCTGAATGTATGCAGTTAGATGTGAACCAGCCCTAAGGCCAGGTATGCCTAGAAATAACCAGTTCCTCTTTAATGGCGCATAGACACATAAGAAGTGCAGCACAAAGGCAGCTGAAGGTCTACAACTATGGCTTCTTAATGATAAAAGATCCCATTTTTAATTTATGTTTACTTTGTTGCAGTATCATGTCAGAAAGGAACGAAATCTTCAGATATGTCAGGAAATGACTGTATGTATTTATGTTTTAACATGTAAAAGTTTTAGCTGCACTACATTCGTTTGATTTTAGTTTCTTATTCCATGTGCGTTCTGTACAAACACTGAAACTGTTGTAGTCTCCAGACACTTGCAATTGCTCAGTTAAAAACCTGGCTGGCTGTACTGCCAACTGTAGAGAATTAATACCTTGTCCAGACAGGGCGCAGGAGTTATACATAGCTGGATGAACTCTCTGGCATCTAATCGAAAATTCTTAAATTTGGGTGGATTTAATCTTTAGCCTAATCTCAGATGGACATTTTTGCTCCATATCACATACTGTCATAAAAGGTATGAATGTCGAAAGCTAAATGTGTCCCAGAGGAATGAACAATAAATTTATTTATTAGTTTCTCTTATGAATTTGGTAGCACCATTGTTCCAGATAGAGGCTTATGGCTGACCTTTGATCTAGATGTGCTAGGTCTCTTTAAGAAGACAGATCTATTGTTACAGAGGGCTTTTGAGTTATGTGCATTAACAGGGCCATTGTATGCATATAGTTGCCTTTTACTGTGGATATTTTATAACCCTTCATGGGTTAAAGTTGGCTGAATATCCACTCGGGAATTAGCAGACAGAACATGCCCAGAGCATTCTGAATGTGGAAATCAGCAAAGCACGTTTCATTTCCTGTAGAACATTCAGCACTAAAGCACTTTTCTGCTGTATCTCCCTAATTTCTCTTGATGTTACAGTTTGCAGAGATGGCCTCTGCTATTATAATGGGCCACATTAAAATTATATTATGTTTCTTCCGGCCAGTTATTAGGACCTTCATAAAAGCCAGTTTACATCTGTATTGAGGAAGCATCTTCTCAATGTATTTGTCTTCTGACTCTGACCTTAAATAGCCAGTAAAATTGTTTTGTTTGAATAGAAAAGTTCTTCCCTGTACAGGTGAAATTCGAAAAATTTGAATATCGTGTAAAAGTTCATTTATTCAGTAATGCAACTTAAAAGTTGAAACTAATATATGAAATAGACTCGTTACATGCAAAGCAAGATAGTTCATAGTTCAAGTTCAGCTCATGAAACCCCCAAATACACAATCTCAGAAAATTAGAATAGTACATGAAATCAATAAAACAAGGATTGTACATAGAACAATATCGGACCTCTGAAAAGTATAAGCATGCATATGTACTCAGTACTTGGTTTGGGCCCTTTTTGCAGCAATTACTGCCTCAATGCGGCGTGGCATGGAAGCTATCAGCCTGTGGCACTGCTGAGGTGTTATGGAAGACCAGGATGCTTCAATAGCGGCCTTCAGCTCTTCTGCATTGTTTGGTCTCATGTCTCTCATCTTTCTCTTGGCAATGCCCCATAGATTCTCTGTGGGGTTCAGGTCAGGCGAGTTTGCTGGCCAATCAAGCACAGTAATCCCACGGTCATTGAACCAGGTTTTGGTGCTTTTGGCAGTGTGGGCAGGTGCCAAGTCCTGCTGGAAAATGAAGTCAGCATCCCCATAAAGCTCGTCTGCGGAAGGAAGCATGAAGTGCTCCAAAATCTCCTGGTAGACAGCTGCATTGACCCTGGACTTAATGAAGCACAGTGGACCAACACCAGCAGATGACATGGCTCCCCAAATCAACACAGACTGTGGAAACTTCACACTGGACTTCAAGCATCTTGCAGTGTGTGCCTCTCCATTCTTCCTCCATACTCTGAGTCCTTGGTTTCCAAATGAGATGCAAAAGTTGCTCTCATCAGAAAAGAGGACTTTAGACCACTGAGCAACAGACCAGGTCTGTTTTTCTTTAGCCCAGGTAAGACGCTTCTGACGTTGTTTGTTGTTCAGGAACGGCTTGACAAGAGGAATACGACATTTGAAGCCCATGTCCAGGATCTGTCTGTGTGTGGTGGCTCTTGATGCACTGACTCCAGCCTCAGTCCACTCCTTGTGAAAGTCCCCAACACTTTTGAATGGCCTTTTCCTGACAATCCTCTCCAGGCTGCGGTCATCCCTGCTGCTTGTGCACCTTTTTCTTCCACACTTTTCCCTTCCACATAACTTTCTAATAATGTGCTTTGATACAGCACTTTGGGAACATCCAATTTCTTTTGCAATTACCTTTTTGAGGCTTTCCCTCCTTATGGAGGGTGTCAATGATGGTTTTCTGCACAACTGTCAGGTCAGCAGTCTTTCCCATGATTGTGATTCTTACTGAACCAGACTGAGAGACCATTTAAAGGCCCAGGAACCCTTTGCAGGTGGTATGGCTTAATTAGCTGATTAGAGTGGGACACTTTGAGCCTAGAATATTGCACCTTTTCACAATATTCTAATTTTCTGAGATTGTGGATTTGGGGTTTTCATGAGCTGTAAGCCATAATCATCACAATTATGACAAATCTGGCTTGTGGCTTGAACTATTTTGCTTTGCATGTAATGAGTCTATCTCATATATTAGTTTCACCTTTTAAGTTGCATTACTGAAATAAATGAACTTTTGCACGATATTCTAATTTTTCGAGTTTCACCTGTACATGAATAAGTGGCTAAGTTTCCAGTACTGGTTGAGAATCAGGCCATATGCCGTGTTATGGAATTGGCTGGTCAGCTTCCATCAAAAGCCATTTGATCCACAAATGTATCCTACAAGACTACATGCTTAACATGCTGTAGAGCATGGGTGCTCAACCTTTTGAAGAGTGAGGGCCACTTAAGTGATTTGGTAACCAGTTGCAGGCCACAATGAAATAAAATGGTTCAGAATTTTGATTTTTTTTTTTTACTTTGTATAGCTTAAAGCAAAGTTCCACCCAAAAGGGGAAGTTCCGCTTTAATGCTTTGTCCCCAGCTCCCCATTAAGGATTGGCACCTTTGGGGAGCGGGTACCCGAATTTGACAGGTACCCGTTCCCATTTCCACTGCGATCGCCTAGGCGATCGAAAGCGAAAGTTGTCCTCCTTCCCTGTAGTCTTCTGGGACACATGACAGGTCCCAGAAGACTACGGGGCCATTCACAAAGCGCAGCGCTTCTCGCACATGCACAGCCAGGTGCCCACACTAAAGATGCTGGCACCAGGGAGAGAAGATGGCTGGTGAAACCAGCGGTGGTGTGAGGACACTGCTGGACCGAGGAACAGGTAAGTGTCTGTATTTTAAAAGTCAGCAGCTACAGTTTTTGTAGCTGCTGACTTTTTTTTTTTTCCCAGCAGGAACTCCGCTTTAAAGTGTTACTAAACCCAGGACCCTGCATGCACTCTATCTGGTCTCCCACAGTACACACAACATGGAAATGCAATTATATTAGTAAATATAAACTGCTAAATACCTTTTCTCATCAGAAGTTAGAGCAGTCTTGTGACTTCTATCAGTGTCCAGCCAAGCACTAGCTAAGCTTGCAGGAGGAGTTTTCTTTCTGCTCTAGAAGGTTGCAAAACCCCTGACCTCTGTCTGACCAGTACGAATTGGCCCTGTGCTGATCACATGCACTCTCCCAAGAAAAAATAAAAACCTATATAGCAATACACACCAAACTGTGCATGTGCAAATGCCTATGGTTCAGTCTGTCTTATCAGGAGATAACAGGTGGTCGCTTAAAAAAGTGGAGGAACAGGGAAGAAGGGATCAAACAGCATTTTTACACAATGCAGAGTATTAACCCCTTAGGTTCCACAGTGAGTATAACAAGCATGCTTTACTTCATATACAGACTGATTTTACTGTTGTGGGTTTAGTGACACTTTAATGGACATTTTCCTCCTGCAGCCGCTGAATGCCGGTAGAAAGGAGAAGAGGAGAATCTGACTTTTAGCAATTACAAAAGAAAGTGGAAGGGTTTGGTTCCTGTATATGTCACCTCCCCACCCCGTCCAAGTGTAAACCAGAATGTGACAGGGAGGCCGCACGGGCCCCCTGGAGCACAAGGAGAGGACCCCTGATGCTACACCTGTGGTTGGAGGGTTGTGGTAAAAACACATTCTAACTATGGGGTTGTACTGCCCCTAAACCACAAATGTAAACAAGCCTTTACGGTCCTGGGCCCCCTATAAGGCTGCTTTCACACTGATGAACTTTGGTTTACCCGCACTGTGAATGCAGCACAATATACCTGCGGCTTTCCTTCAGGTTAGCTGCTCTTTGTCACAGACTTCTATTATATTTTACGGGTGTTGTGCACTTTCTGAAAGTTTTTTGTGTTCTTACATTCAGTTTGAGGTGGAGGATCCACATTAGAGGGCTCTGCAGGCCACAAGTTGAGAACCCCTGTTGTAGAGTGATGAAGTGTTTACAATTTCCACTGAAGGCTTGAAGAGACCCTGTTGTCAGAAGTTCATTTTTTAAATGAATGACCTAAGATTTCATGTGCATGTAATGCATTTTATGCATATTAACAGTAATATGGTAATATCCCTTATGAAGACAAAGGCCCTCAGACGTCTTGGAAATGGGTGGCAGTAGCTACAGACTTGGAGCTGACACAAATCACTATCTATAGTACTCCCTCCTCCCAAACTCTTGCATCCACATAAAAAGCAAAGAAAGGGGAGTATGTTCTGGACCAGCACAGACAATAATTAGACAATCCCAGAGGAGGAGAGAGCTAGAACATGCAAGGAGTACTCAATTAGCAAGTTTAAAGGCACATTAGTCAATACAGCCTAGTCACAGGTCCATCAAAATTTATGAAAGGCAAAACTCTGCAAGTAGGCCTTTAAAGTTCTTGATTGTTCTATGCTTTTACTGGCCAAATTGTTTTGTTTTTGGTACAGTAGAGACAGGTTGGATTGTTGTTTGTGTCTCCACTAGACATTCTAAAGTGATTCTGAAGCTAAAAATGCTTTTTACTTTAATGCATTCCTTACATTAAGTTTTATATTTTTCTGTCCTTTCCCTTACCTGTGTGAAGAGGAAGAGAGAGGAGCAGAGATCAGCACTGTGCATGGCTGCATCTCGTCTCCCCTTTCTACACAGGGACCTGAGCAGCAGCAGGAGCCATTGGGGAGGAATTTTGGGGCAGGACTAAGCCTGTCTGCCTGTCTATGGAGTCTGCTCTATAGATACACACAGCTCACAAGCAAGCACATACTCTGTGCCTCCATAGCAAGCGACTTACTACAGGGACACACAAAGAAGAGGAGAAGCCAAGATCGCTAGCTGGTGACCCAAGAAGAGAAGGATCGGGGCTGCTCTGTGCAATGGTATTGCACAGAGCAGGTTAGTATAACATGTTTGTTGACCATCACCAATACCTCAGAAAATGCTGCCTCTTACCAGACCGAAATGACCCCTCAATTAAGTACGGGTCAAAAAAGCGCAGTACAGATTCCAAATATGAATAACGAACCCGGACACTTTCGGCTCTGAAGGGATAAGCTGACTCCCAGGTGTTGAATGAAGGAAAAAGCCTTTTGGATCACTTTCAAAAGACTCCCAACTGATAATCTAAGTATTATGCCAGAGGTAAACCTGTGAAAATGAATTGAGGCATTGTTGTGGAACATTGACTGGGTAGACTGTTTTATCTTTCTTTCTTCAATCCAAATTCTGTGGCTGCATTAGTTTTCTTTTTTATGTCTTTTTCCTTTAATTTCACTTGGAGATCCAGATAATAACACATTTCTTGTCATAGAGTTTCTTTTTGGAATTTGTTTGATATCCATATATTTTATTATAGAGGCATTTATTTTTATTTATGCCTGACATTGTTGGATTTTTATTAATTTATCTGTAGCGCCGCACTCGTTTTCTATATGTCTATGTGTTGTTGCCTGCAATACTGTGTTGACTGCTTTTTTTTGTTATTAATTTTGATGTGACATTTACTTAATATAGCGCGGAAGTGTCAAATTGTTACTAACATGTTTGTTATTTTAATTTAAATAAAATTAACCTTTAGTAAGACTTTAAGCCTGTTTGCCCAGGTGACCATTGTGAATAGGACAAGAAATGATAAAAACCAAAATGGCACAATGGTCACTGACACAGTGTGGAAATCTTTCAAGGGGGAACTTATTTTGGTGACAACTTAAGCTGGCAGATAGATCGAATCTTGAATGGTTCAGCAGGACCAGATGAGATTCGATCCATCTATGAGCAGGCTGGTTGGATCGACTTAGGTACAACCAGCCTGTCAGATTTTAATTTTTTTTTACATGCAATTACTGCCGGCAGCTTTAGCCGCTAGCAGTAATCATTGTGTTCTTGCCAGCAGAACACAATATTGCTGCGGGAAGGATTCCCCCATCAACTCTAACTGTGGTGATTCGGGAATCAAGTGAAGAAAATCAAATCACGTTGTTTTGTCTGTTATGTTATTATTATATGCTGGAAAATGGACATTTTTTATAAATGCAATTTTCATCTAACATTAACTATATACAGTGTGTATATATATTATAGTACCTGAAGCTTGCTGGCCACCGCATCTCACTTTTACAGTCTTATTTGTAAATTAACCCATGTATTCACTAGGATTACATTGAGCTTGGGTAAATTGGGACCCAAAGTTGACAAAAAGTTACACAGGGATTCTGGAGAGGCTTCTGGCAAGTGAACAGGGTGGCTGGAGAGCAACTCTTTAAACCTCTTAATTTGCTCCAAATGTTCTGTAGCAAAATTAGAGCATGTCTTAGTTAAATTGAATAAAAAGTCTGTTGTAACCCCTAGTTTAAGGAGGGGTGGGCTCCCTCAGGTTCACCTGCCCTTGGTCTATCCATTAAATACATGTGCCTCTACTATGGGGGCTCTTGAAATTTGTAGCGTTAGGACTACAGAATATCGGGGTGCTGTGACGTGGCTCTGTAACTTACGTATTTGTAAATGTGTGCTAACTAAATCCCTGTTTTTAACTCATACTGTTAGGTTAATTCAGTTTGTTTGTAAGCTGGCTGGCAAGTTGAGCTGGGAACTTTTCTCTTTTGTTGTTTGACATGCGTCACCCTTCCATGTGTTCCTTGCTGTGTAAGCCAGTTATAGACTGGGGCAGTGGCCATTTTTTGTACAGATTATCAGTTGTTTAACAAATGAGACATAAGTAGTTAGCTGTTTAGGTGCTCTCATTAGATAGTGGGATGGACTTCAGCTCTAAAGCTGGCCACACATTGATGGAAGTTTGACTGCTTCAGCAAGGACCCATCTTGATCCATGTGTGGCTGCTCCCACTCAACAAAGGTCAAACTAACAAATTATGTCTGTGGATGAAGGAACCTTTGTTTTTTTTTGCACAGAGGGCTGAATGAAAAAAAAAAAGATCAATCTATTGCCAGCCTAAGGGTGAGAATTATCATCGAAGTCCCGTAAACCTCTCATGAGAAGGATAAAGGGGCTGCTAGGTTGACCGTCTAATTACTTGGTTCCTCTGCTGTCCTCTGGTTTCTTTCCAAGTCACTATCTAGGACAAGTAATGTTGAGGAATGTCAGAAGTTCACATCTGCCTATTTCTTTTGTGATGCACATTTAGCAAAAAATCCAGCTACTGATGCATGGGGAAAATCTAACGTAACGTTTCTATCTTGTTGGTCAGTCCTCTGTTGGAATCAGGTATGTTAATCATGTTTTCACAGTGAAAAGTATGTAATTTGCATTTAGTCTACAACTTTCTTTATGAATTCCACTGGCTGCTTCTCTGTAGGATGTGAATGAAGCCTTAAACCGGCCATAGATGCGTAGAATTATCAACCAAAAATTTTAAAGAAAAGAGCGTTCTAAGGAAGTTTGTACATTTTTCTAATAATTTTGGTTCAAAACTATGTACGTTTCCAATTGCAGTGACGAGAAAATTTGAAGGAGCAGGATGGAGAATATTTCTCAAATTAACAAATTTCTAACAGTGTATGTGGTTTTCGTTTGGTAAATTCCATTCATTTCAAAATCAAATGTAGTTCAAAAGATTTCATTAGCTTCTAACATTTGATGAGAATGTTTGAGAATTTTCATACAAATTTTCCTAAAACTTTTCCTAAGAATTTTTGTTTGAAATTCTATCCATCTATGAATAATATATAAAAAAGTGGTGTAGCGCTACAAAATCACAGACCAAAATATATAGGTGACACGGGGTGCTCAAACATACACAAGGTCTGAATGACCTATTACGTGACCTGTAAATGTGGTGAACCCAATCCCAATAAGGGATACAAACCAAGTGACCTTTGGTACCCACAACTGGGACTCAAAACTAAATGCAAGTGAATCCCTATGGAAGGATAAAGACACACAAAGTGCTCAAAATGACATTGACCATATAAACAGCAATAATAAAGTCCATCAAATGTGAACACAATAGCGGTGCTCCAATCTTCTTGGTCATGCAAAACGCACACTGTGAACGCACAACACACCTGTTAGTGCTCCCAAGAATAGCTGCAATGGCCTCTCACCTCCTCTTAGCGACCCTAGGGGCCACAGAGCCTTGCAGATCTCTCC